GGTTGATTGTATGATCTTCACTCTACAGTGAAACTGGTTTTTTGGTTCATTGGATCTTCAAACTCTTTACTATATCCTTCTAAGCACCAGCAGAGCAGAATGGAGGTCCCACTGCCCTTTGGATGACACCCAGGGGTGCAGCAGCCTGCTGTCCTGCCACAGGATGGAACTGCATGCGCAGGGGCACAAACTAAGCACACAAAGCTTTGCAGCCCCTCAGCACACACTCATCTGTTTTCATCACCTTATCTGTGGCTTAGCAGATGACTTGAAGAGAACTATAGGGTTCAACAAGCACATTCATGAGGACCAAGAGAGCACACAGGATGGTCACACACCATTTTGTTCACAGGAACTCAAGCACCTCCACAAGGGTTTCTCAGAGTTCTCAGCTTTCACGTGTGGCAGTTTGGATTAATATCAGACTTCATACCTCGAGCTCATTAAAGTCGGACCGGGGTTAATAATACCTTGTGTCACAAAAACAATCACTTTTTGAAGGTGCAGATCAAAGCGTGGGATTATCACAGTGGGCAGATCTACACCATTCAGGTGTGAAACAAGTCTAACTAATAGCTTGGGATTGGATGACAAGTGGCACCTGAAGAGAGCTGTGCTACCTTACCCTCCAGAGCAGGGTAAGAATATTTATTCCCATGTTTCATTAAGCTCCCACCAGTTCTCTGGCAAAAATAAGGGTTTAAAATCCACTGAGCCACACTGAGGTACAGGATGTCCAGTCCTTCAAAGCATTAAACTCGTGAGTAACTTTACCTGCACAGACATTAGCTGGACAGGTGAACACACCACAAAACAAACACCTTAAGTGCCTGAAAGGGAGTGAGGCCAGTGCAGCATTCCCAAAGCAAACTTCTGTCATCCTCTCATTCAGGCAATAATGAAACTCACCAATTTTGGGATGTATTTCTAATCAAGGTAAGGCAGAATACCTGAGTAATCTAGTCATTTCTCCTGAAAGCTTTTTACATTTTTAAATTATTATTTTTATAGATCTAAATGCTAAGTGCAGTAAGAATTTCTGAGACTCATTTACCCTCTTCCCTATAGGCATTCTGGGTTTGTTTTTATGACAACATGAAAGGTCATTGCTGGCCTGATCCTGTGCTTTGCTGGGCACATTCTGCCCCTAAACCCTCAGGTTGCAGTAAAACACCAGATCTCTAGAGAATTCAGGCCATTATTAATGCAAAGCATTATGAAGTAGAAGCTCTTATCTAATGAAAGCTTCTGCCATTAAGATCTGCATTCACACCTACCAAAAATGCTCACTGCAGTTGGTTTCTACACCAGCCACGTCAAGTTCAGCTGCACAATTTATCCAAAGCCTTTAGAGCCTATCAAATAGCCATTTTGTTGGTTTTGGCCTAACAGAACAGGATTATAATAGAACCAGCTAAGATGGCTGTTACCTATCAGATTTCTACCACCATTTTTCATACTTGATAATTCAACCTCTGATCTCAGACCAACTGTGTCACTAAACCAGGTGTCAGCTTGCATGAAGATGGCAAAATCTGTGCCACAGAGCACTCAGTCTGTGCTGTGCACTGCAAAATATGGAAACAAGAGCTGAATGCTGATATATTTCTTCACATCCACCCGTGTCTGCTCCTCTAGGTGTACTCACACAACAACAGCTCAGCAACACACTGGAGCATAAATACTCCTGCTGTTTCTCTCCAGTGTTATTCACATGCATTCACCAAGCTAAAGGTGAAGCAGATGGAAATCAGGTTGTTTGCAAAAAATGTCTTTCCTTTTCCTCCCTTCTCCCTTCCATCCTCAACGCTTCTGACTTAAGTCACTGAGAATCCTGAAACTTTCCAAATGCAACAGATGAGCCTTGCCTACAAAATACATGACAAATCAAGTGGCCAAAATCATTAAAGCTAAAACTAATAAGGTCATCCACAAAGTCACAACCTTGCTGGTTATTGCCTGGTCCCACGCAATGGCCTGAGGCAGAGAAACTACCCTGTTCACTTCATATCTTGAAGTTGATGATTTTAGTTGACTAAGCACTTCTTCTAACCAAGGTTTTCTCTGGACACTGCCCTGTTCCCCTTTTTCCTCTATGACATGTTTACACTCCAAGGATAACAGCATTATAGTCAATATCCTCTGAAACACAGTAACGTTTTCAGACTCCAGAACAAACACAAGCACAAAGTTTTTCCATGAACAGTGCATCAAATACTACAAAATCCTCAAGTGCTATGGAGCTGAGTAGGGTCCACTTCAGTTTGGATGAGGAAAACCACACCATAAACTGGATTCTGAACCTCAGGAATTACATAAAAGACAACAGCTGGAGAAGAAATTTCCTAACTGACATCCCTTTCACACAGCACCCATTCACCAGACCAACACTCTTCACCAGCTCTCCCCATTTAATGCCCTGATTATACCAACAGCATCCATGTATCTGTCCTTGGCTATGTAAGTATTTATCAATCCAGAAGCAAAAATGATCTTCCTGCCCCATCCCTTTGACTGTGACACTTCTTGGCTCTCTGTATTACATGTAATCTACTATTCATTTCACTACTCAGCAAATACTCCCAGTAACATTATTAAACTGCAAAGTGTGCCAAACAGAACTCTTCCCAGTGCAATTCCCTCGTTCTAAAATGAGGAGTGAGCAGAACACAAATACTTATTTCCCTTTCCTTGCTTTTGAAGGAAGTGTTGCCTGTGACTGAGTCCTGCCTGGAGCAAACCTGCACAGGCAGCACAACACTGCAGCAAAGCCTGAGCCAAGAAGGCAATGCCAGCCTGGCTGCTGAGGGCAGCCCCAACTGCAGCTCCTCCACTCCCTGTGCACCACTGACCCCTAACCAGCTATGGACCCATAAACTCAGCCAGTCCTCTAGGTGGAAAACCTTCCTGGCTATTGGACTTTCACCTAAGAAACTGAGCCAAAATGACCTTCTTGAATCTGAAGAGCTTAGAGGGTTTTTTCCTTCTGTTATTTTTTCATTTTCATTCCCATCCGTGTTCCTGGATCCTGGCCAGAACTG